ACACACACACGCACACACACACAGAATGCATGAGATTCGGGTGATTGTGGTACATAGATATAACGTGCATCCGTGTTGTATTAAGGTATTTTCCTCACCTTCATATCCTTCTGGGATGTATTTAATAGAGAACATGATGTTCCCACGACTGCTAATGGAGTCTGGGCTCAGATAAACCTGTGACAGAGCGTACATAAAATAAAAAAAAAGATGAAGTCAGAGGAAATGACAGTATGAAAAGAAGGAAAAAGGGAAGGAGGAGAAGTGTGGAAGCAGGGAAAGATTAAGGTTACATAAAACCTAGTTGAAATTCACAGCATGTCTTCCTCTCCCTTCAGCTCTCCCAGACACAAGAGACACCTCCCCACATTCTGTCTCCAACAAAGCTGCTGTAACTGCTGCTACAAACACACTCAGATACTAAACAAATGTAGATGCAGGCACCACAGTGGGCTGGTAAATATTTATCTGGCACCATTCGAACACAAACACACACACTAATTTATGCAACTACAAGAGTGTGTGTTTGCATGCCACTCGTTGATGCCAGGTCCTTCCTACCCGTGGCTGCAAGTCCTGCCACAGAGGCTGTGTGCAGGTCCAATCCCAGAGCGCCAGAGTCACCTCCACCTCCCCGAGAAATACGTTCCTCCCCAGGGGCTCGGCATGCCACACAGAGAGGTTCAGGGTCCGACTCCGCAGCTCTCCGATCCGCACCTTATACTGAAAGAACATACATCACGAGTGTGTTTTTGTTATTTAGGTAACTTTCTGTGATTGACATTTTATGTAACACGTAAATGACAGAGAGTCTCACTCTGAGTGTCTGATCATAAACTGGGTTTAGGGTCTTCTTCTTCACTGAAGTCTTCTTCTTACTGTGATTTGACTTGTCCGGCAGGAGGTAGGTTTTAACATATCTGTGAAAAAACACACATCCGTTGCTAGACTGGCTCCATATGGGCCCGGATATTGTTGATTGAATATCTACTTTCACATGCATGCAAACATGCAGTCACTTACGGGTCAGACCGGTTCTTACGTGCTGCAGCAATGTCCTCACAACGATACACTTTGACCTGCAGCTCCTCCCTCTGGCTGTTGTAAGCCAATGAGTACTGGATACGGCCCCTCACCTCCACCACTCCGAAATCCCCCGAGCTGAACAGACTCATCATGCTACCGCTGAGCTATAACACGTACGCAAAGGAAAGATCAGCTCCTACGTCATTGTCCTGAGCTGAGTCATCTTGCGTCGCCAAATAGGCAATTAATCAAATGTGTGTGCGTGCATGCAAGTATGCTGTGCGTGTGTACGTGCATGTACCACGTAGCCCGAATGAAGACTGTTGGTGGAGCTGCTAGTTCTCAGAGAAGAAGGATCCGTCTCTGTCAGGCTGCTCAGCGAGTCAGTGTCCCCATTACAGTTGTCAATCAAGTCTTCCTAAACACACACACACACACACACACACTCACAGTTCTTATGCAGCATTATAATTAGACACAAAACATCTGTCATAAACTTTTAGTATACTTTGAAGGAGTTTTTAATGGGTAAAAATGGGATCCCAACCACCCACACACACACACAGATGCACACACACATGCACACACACTCAATACACCATAATAATGTCTCATTTACAAAAGTACCCAGAGCCATAATTTACCACTCAGTAGAAGCCCCTCTGGCTGCAATAACAGATTTCAGTCTTCTTGGATAACTCTGTACTGGCTTCACACATCTAGATTTTTTTCTGATATTATTTTTTAGAAGATTCCTTCAAACTCATCAGACCGGATCGAGATCCATCAACCCGTTTGCTGCCTTCTCTGTGCAGATCTCATTTTACCTTGGACAATCCAGACTGCCAGAAAACACTCCTGAGTAATCTCCAAAAGTTGATTCGGTTCATCTGGACGTAGCGTTTTCTGGGAGAAAAAAAACTCTACGTACTTCACTCATCCAAGTGACTTCTTCAGTCTCCAAGAAGGTCCCAGAAAACGCTAGGTCCAGATGAACAGAATCAGCTTTTGGAGATTTATTTTCCTGGATGATTGAGAATGCATCAAGACTCCTGAGTAATACTGATTCACTGATATGCTGAAAGGTGATGTGTTTATCCCCATGTCAGGTTGCTTCTTTAGTGTCCTCTCTGTCTTTGATTGTATTCAGCCTTCCCTCAGCTTTGTCCAGCTGACAAATAACCCAAAGAGTTTTCCATCTTCAGACTTTATCCTTTACTCCG